TGTCTGATCTGTGTTGTCAATTTTTCTCGTTTTTTTCCTGATTTTCGGTGACGTCTCTATGTGATGACGTCGTCACTGGTTTTGTAGAGAGACCCGTCAGAGATGGCGTGGCTAACCCGGGTGCCTTGGTTATGTGCCTGATCGTGGAAGACCCCTTCAATGTGGAACGATTCTTAGCTATTGTCGATATTTTCACTGCGTGCCTAACACAGACGATCGGGAGAGGTTCGGGTGATTGTCCATTGCAATCATGGCTTTGGTTGGTTGTTCTTTTTCACTGTACGTCCGCAGACACATTCTGACAGCACTTCAGACAGCAGCTTTGTGCCCCGCCAGCTTCTTGTTCAATGCCTACCATGGTGTTTTTGTACAGACAGCACTTCAGACAGCAAGTATGCTGTAGTCGGCAATCATTCGTTTTGGTACAGAGTGGGACAGGTAGGGGGTGATGTTGTAGTCGAACGGTGAGACCGACGTGTAGTTCAGTTTTGGGCACGCGTACGGTGCTGCAGGGATTATATATTGGTGTAGTAGTACCTCTTCGGGCTCTTGGATACCTTTTTCTTGCTACGTGTGCGTGTTCTTTAGATCCTCAGATGGCTCTACACTTTCGTGACCACGGGCTGAGAGTCTTGCTAGATTTTGGCATTTAGCAACTGGCATACGGTTTCCAGAAAAAAACATGTGCGTCCTTAAAGCGGGGTCGACTGTTCGACAACGAGCGTACAATCGCATTTTCAGATTGCTGATGAAGTTCTCAGTGGGTGGATTCATGTGTCATCACCGATGCGCCAGGATTTCGACTCGAAAATGCCCTCATTCTCTGTCCCTCCAGCCAGGTGCATAGCCTGTACATACAAAAACTGCGGTGGGTCCGGCCATAGCCGTTTCGCCCACTCCCCCCGTGAGACTGATTCCCATTTTTGACCCCCTGTAGACTATGCAACACGCCGCCGCACCACGCTGCACGTTGTATTGACCCTTTTTACGACTCGGCCATGAAGACTGCTGGTGCTATCGTACTCTTCACCCTTGGCTGTGCCAATGCCTTCGTCATGCCCGCGGGCCGCACGGTAGTGCGCGCGGAAACAGCTCGGGCTGCTGAGAAAATCAACACGATCGAGTTCGAGTTGGACAAGCCGAAGGCAAGCATACCATCGAGCGGAGGTGCCCTGCTGCTGTAGGGCAGCGTGGCATCAGTCGTCCATTGTTGCCTACTGCAAGTGTGGCAGCGACTTGCACGCGCCATCTCAGCCTAGTCACACACCCGTATGCATGCGTTGTGCTGTTGCTCTCCTGGTTGGTCCACCTGCAGATCACGTGTCATTTGCATCAATGTTCATGTTTGGGGTACCAAAGTTTAGTTTGCACCTCGGACTTGCTGCTGGTACATCGTTCATGTACGTACATGAAGCAATCTGTGGGTGAATCTCTATTCCCGTATCCTAGGAAGGGGCAGCGTAGACACCATGACCCCGTGAGCTTAGGGATACCAATGCGATTGAGAGATACTTGCCATCTCGCGAGTTTTTCCAGGCTGAAGACGCCCATCGTCTCACGAGAGACCACCCCATAATGCACCACAGCACAGCTCCCTGAGTCAACCACAATGTACAGTAAGCGAAAAGAGTCAGTAAAGCAGTATGCAGCACTACCTGCGTCACCCACAGCTGCAGCAGCCCGTGAAGATACGTGTACGTCTCCTTTTCTTCAGAGCTCAAGTCCTTGTGCATGCCCTTCCATTAAACGCGACGCGTCAACACTATTTCAGGTTGTAACGATGGACTCCGTGGACGCCGGGAGCAAGAAGGTGTTCTGCCGGTGAGGACGTCTGGAAATAGTAGCGGTGTGCTCCAAGTGTGCTGTGGAAAATGTACATACACATGGGTCACCTTGTCCACTGCTGTTACTCATGGTCTACATGTGTGTTTTTCAGAGAGTTTTGAATTATTTTTTTGTATCCTGGTGCATGAACCGTCGGTCTCAACTCCACCCTCATCAATTTCATCCTGCTTCTCCACGTCGACCCTCCCATGAGCTCCGATCCGAGGTCTCACGAGAGGGTCCTGTGTGTGGTACTACATATATGTACGTACCATATTATTTTATTCGTGCAGCATTTCCTTCCGATTAGCTTGGTATGTGTATTTAGGTGGTAATTACTGTTTTGCCTCCGTATGCATAAAGTAGGCATAAACTGCTGTGGAAACATTCAACAGTTGGTTGCTGGTTGCGGGTGTCGAAACAACAATCGGTTTCATACAGTTTTCGATATCGATAAATTTCGAAGAGGCCGAAATCCAGGCCGACCACGTGAGCACTCTTATTATATAGATGTGATCGCGCGCTCGCAAGGGCCCACACGCGCCGTCCGAGGCATGTTGTTACAGCAGCCACATCGAACACGTAGTGGCCCGAGCTGCATCGCTCAACCTGGTTGTGTTGAACCTACTTAACGCCAAAACGTTCATTCAAAACATCCCGGCTTGGTGTAAAGTACTTGAAAAGTTCCAAGTCAAGTGGTTGCTCTCCGCTTTGTGTCTTCGCATGCCTATCAACTGAAGATCCGAAAACGATGCGATCGACTCCCTGACACCGGTCACCTCCGCAAAAACAACTGTAAACGGCTCGTCGCCCGTTTTGTTCACTCCCGATCTCTTGCGCCCCCTTCCCTCTCCCCGCCGCCTTGCTTCGCGTAACTCCCGGGCGTGGTAAATCAAAAAGGTGCTGGAAATCCGGGACTTTTCCCCTGTGTGATGGTGCCCACGCGAAGCACAACGAGGCAACCGGGGACAACGTGGGCCCACTCATTGTGTCCGGTCCCAAGAAGGAATAGATGTGTGTTGTTCTGAACATAGGTTTTACTTTCTATCCATCTTGATCACTTGCTGGTTGTTGCACCCACACGTTGGGTTCGATTCACAGGTGGAGCATCACATTGCTGCAACCATAACTTGGGAGGCAAAATCACAGGCGGGAATAGCGAGAGATTTGGGTGGTGCGAATCGCAGACTGAAATAGATGGAGGTGGCCGGTCCTATCGCAGGAATGTGTGCTTTCGGATCGTTCGCTGCTCGAGGCGATCGTGACCCGTTTTAGGTTATCTGGGCGGTTTATTGCATACAGCACCATCTATTGAGGCCACGAACGTACCAGTGGATGGTCAATTGTCGGCTGGATCTCTTTAGTTTAAGACTGGCTGCCGTAGACTCGAATGGTGGGTGGCGTGCTTTCACAGGTTGCGTAAGTACACGCGGGGTATGTTCACCGCATGTTGCAGGCAATACCGTGGGTAAAGGTATGAATGTCATTGATAAGTATCGCTGCTCATGTCACCTGATCGCGGTATCACGCCGATGAACCAAACTTGACCCTTATCAGATGTATGAACAGGAGCTCATCCGACACTTGGGTAGAGCGCATCAGTGTACTATGCTCCATGTCGGACATCTTACTGGTCCTTGGTGTCGGTTTGGCGTGAAGTAGAATGGCCTTGGTGCATGGCGGCTGACTTATGGTCGTGAAAGCGTTACAAGGGCATAGAGCGTTTGCGCACAGATGTACTTAAGGTCGCGACGACGCCGACCTCAATAGCCTTGAAGCCTCCAGGTAGGCTTTCTTTCTTTGTCCCCCCAAAGGGTGTTGCCTCAAAGCAAGCGAGAAGTCACGAGCGAGTGTCAAACGACACCCACCCGTGCATGGCGCCATTTGTGCAGACGTTGGGTGGGGCACCAAACGAGAATGTGTCTTCTGCTCGTTCGCATATTTTATCGTTCGTTACTGTCACATGTTGTGGCCAAAGCCATGGAGACTGAACACCAACCTCAACATTAAACACTCCGCTGCGTACTATTGGTTGTGGCTCATGGGATCGTCTTGGTCATGAGCTGGAGCTGGAAGTCGCACCCGTCTCGAACAAGCTCAGGGTAAGGAAACGGCATTGTTCGTTTTTTCCTGTATCCCTGCGCCTCGTACCAGCCGAACAGCTCTGGGAAGAAGCTCACTACCGAAATTTCCATGTTGATGTTCGATCGGCGTAGCTCCTTGCGACAGCGTTCCTCTGCACGACGGTCCGAAAAAATCGAGAGTTTACGAACGAGTGCGCATGGAGACACAGGGGGAGTTCAAAGTGAGAGTTCAAAACAAGGCGCGTGTGGGAGAAGTTTCAGAGGGCCAATGATCTATATAGAAACGCTAGGCCGAGGCCCAGCGGCAGTGTTTTCGAATCCTCCGACGAAATGCAGCAGCAAAAGAAACAATGCGGTCGTCGAAGCAGCAGCACGTCACCGCACACGGTGCTCGCCCGCGTCTAGAGAAGTAAATGGGACAGAAGTTTTGGAACTCGTTTTGGGGTGGTGCTGGTAGAACCTGCCGGGTGAGCCCCAGCTTAAATGGGTCAGGGTGATCAAGGAGCCGCCTAGATATTCTTTCGTTTTGTGCCATAGAGAGACACAGGATCTGCGCACCTTTGTCCTTTGTTCGTGAGAGAGAAAAAACGCTATCAACAGAGGACGCGCGAGCAAACCGCGCGATGAAACCGGCACACCCGGGCGTGGTGGCACCAAAGAGTACACGGGAACGATTTGTGTTGTCTTTTGAAATCCTCCGCGGTAAGCGGCCTTAACCACCTTCTTTGCGCCACGATAAAAGTAAGGTATCAAAACATATGAGATTCTTCTTGTTTTCTCGCCGTCAGAACGAACGCGCGGGGACCCCGCGCTTGCTTGAGGTCGAACTGTCTTGTGGGACGAGGGTTCGGGTTCGGTAGGGTTGACGCCCAATACGTTTAGTTTCATTAAACAAATTCTGAGTACCACGCCGAACAAAGCTAAGACAGACGCAGAAGTATCCCAGAGTAGAGCAACCTACCAGGCTACACAGTCTGACTGTTTTCACACACCTGCCTCAGACAAAAGAAAAACGCATGCATGCATCCAGCGGTTTGCTGTGCTCTCAACGCACCTGCTGCAGAAACCAGAAGCCTCCCTATCCCTCGCCCGGAGCACTCCTTTGGGACGCTGAGCATGCCGAAGTGTGCATCGACGTCCTCGTCGCCGCTGTCCGTTACCCCCGACCAGCAGACGTGCACGCAGCCCACCAGCGACTTGCTGTTGTCGTCGCCGTTCGTTTCCTCGGCCACAAGGAAGACGTTGTCGGGCGTTTCCATCAAGGTCATGACTGTCGGTCCCACACGGAGAATGGCACGGGGCGCGCGCGCGGGCTCGACGTGGGTTGTATGCCGGCGGACAAGCAATCCCCTTTCGTCAGAGGTGGAAACCGCGAAGAAGGTTGGTTGATACAGGGGTCGAAGCATGACACGTGAAGAGAGCCAACAAAGACCGGTGGTCCGGTGACATATCGATTCCAGGCGAAAAGGTCGCCAATTGATGGCTGGATACGTGAAACGTGGTCTGAACGCAAGAGCACACGGTTAGCGGTAAATTGAAAGCACGTCGAGCGGTGAATGGAGTATGATAACCGCAAGTTATGCTGCTTGAGACAGATGTGGAATTACGTCTACGTTCCTGAGTTGGACGGAGCGGGTGTTCATGCAAAGTCCAACGAACGCTCAATAAAAGCTTGTCGTATGTAGTATAAGAGATCCCATTCCACCCTGCTACCCCCCAGGGATACCGATCCGATGTGCTTCCAGCAAGGAAGATAGTTTACTGTGGAGATTGCTAAATATGCAAGAGAGAGCCTTCCGACACGAGCCCTCGCCCTCTTATGAGTTCCTCTTCCGCCTGTGTACGGGGTAGCGTTTTTCTCTTATTCATTTGCGCACCCCGGTGCCATATCCCCCCGCTGGGTGCCATCTCATCGATAACTGTGCGGAAGTACAACTACGTTGTATACCTTTGTAGCTTCTCAAGGTACCACGGTGCGATCTCTCCCTCGGTGCTACGGCGAGGATCCTGTAATACACGACCCCGGTGCGACAACCGACAGACTGCGACACTGAAACCCACCACACAGGGCTTGGCTTGGAGTATGCAATTGCCGTACCGATTAAGTGGATACAACTGACTCAGTTTCCCGCGTGAACCACGACCGACCGCACACAAAGGAGTGGCGCCCCGATGATTCTCTCACCGGATGCAAACGTTATCCACATGTATGTGCCACTTTAACGCAGCTCAAGAAGTGGCCCCAGCAGCTAGAAAACGGTCCGGAGCCACCCGCGGAGCACTAATCTTGGATTTGTATCACTGATACCGGCGCGGAAATCGATTTTAAATCATGCCGGTCTTGATGTTTCTTGCACTCCCCGCCGGGTGCCATCTCCCGGACCGCCTCCGTGAGAAAATTAGATTATGAGGAAACAGCACAGGGAGGGGGTACGCAGAGGACACAATCCCTATTCCTTAACCCTGGCCCTAACCCAACTTCCCCGATTGTACGCCTTATCCAACATGCTTACTAGAAAACCCTGCGAGTGCCAACCAACTCCCCCGATTGACCCTTTATCCAACATGTTTACTTACTAGAAACCGTGCGATCGCTAATCTCCCGCACTCTTGGTGCCGGGTGGTGAACAACATCTACGGCATGAGCATCGATAGCACCACAGCCTTCAGTCAGAGGGCTTCCCAAAGCACTAGACAAGCCTGTAGACAAGAGCTGCAGCTGTTAGGAAAAATACGTCAACTGCTGCGTGGAAATGGCGGTCGCCCGTTGACGAGATCGCTAAATGCTGCCACCGCTCTGTCGCCCCTTGCAACAGTTCTCGAAAAACACCTTCAAGAGCCACCAGACGGACGAACGTGCGAGACCAAAATGTGGCACGTTGCAGTATGCAAGGGCCCATCCGTGAGCAGTAAACAGAGGGAACCGAATGAACTAGATTTACCTTCATGTTGTATACACAGCAGTACGGCTGCAAATAGTGTCGACAAACACATGCGAAATAGGTGCTAGCTGCACGTAGGAGAGTTGCATGCACAACCGTCGGGATAAAAGTGGTGAATCAGCCGACGGGATTAGACTTATAATAGATATCTAAAGGTCCTGAAAGCGGGATAATGTGCACAAGGCAAAAAATCGTCCGATGCTGCCACGATCAACAAAAGCTTACCTTGCTTGCCATCCTTCGTCACGCGGTCGGCTGCGAGATCTTCCTTGAACTGCTTGTTGTATTGTTTGAAAGCAGCGTTGATCATGTCGGTCAGCAACGGATGTGCCTCGTCCGCAGTAGCCTGTCTCACTGCGATCCTGCTTGACAACGGGGGAGGAGCGGTTGGATTCTTCATCGACGCCACCCGTGTAGACGTTACTCCGAACACTGCAACTCCTCTACGCACGTTCGATATCAGGCGCATTTGTGTGTCTATGTGCTGTGTCGAGGTCGCTGAAGGTGGTGTGAATGTGTGAATGTGTGGTGAAGTGGTGCAGGGTGAATCATCTTCTGTGCAGAACGCCCAAAACAGTAACATTGGCGTTGCCCCCAATTTCTTACAGTCCCGTGAGCGAGAGACGACCGCACGTCGCGACATCTAGACAGCCCAAGCCAACACCCACTACAGCACACCACACCGTTGCGAAAACAAGCAGCACATACGAACTCAAACCTCGTTGGTTGGTCAGTATCTCTTTGGTGGGGTGAACAGCTCTCTGCATAGCGGCGGGTGCAGGTGGCGTGTGCCACCTTGAGAGAGGTGCCGGAGCGCGTGTCACATGTTTCCGTCCTGGCGAGGAGTCTTGCTCAGCAGTCTGTGCGTCCGGAAGTTGTCGGCCTTCGCAGCCGCGCCGCTGCTGCCGCATCGCTGTAGATTCGGTGGCACCCGTAGTCAGAGTACAAGCAGAGCCGCGATGTCAGCAGCCGAGGGATGCCCAAAGCCAATCGTATGGACCATTGCGGGATCGGATTCGGGAGGTGGCGCGGGCATCCAGGCGGACCTGCACGCGATGCACAGCCTTGGCGTGCATGGCTGCAGTGTCATTACGGCGATGACAGGTGTGTTTGAGCAATGGGCAGGAAGGAAAAGAGGGCTCCCTGGTGGGTAGAGGCTGTGCTGTTGCCTGTGCGCATCTCGCAACACATTTTCTCTACAGCTGTGTCATCACCGATGTATTGCCGTGCCCGTTAGACCCGTACGCCATGCGTGTGCGAGGGAGCAACAGAGCCTGTTTTGAATGACGAGTGTTTTGGTTGCCACGAAGGAATTGCTGTGCCCGTAGACTCCAAGTCTTGTGTATGTGTACACGAGCGACAGACTGTGTGCTTGTATGTCGAGTGCGTTTTGTCGCCATGAAGGAGACGAATGTCGCGGTACGAGTGCCGCGGTATCGTACGAAAGCAACGTTTTGACCTCCCTCGGAGCGAACGCACCTCATCGTCCATCCTTGGTGGACGCGGAGGCGCCCTGTTGCCACCGGAGGAGGCGATCCTACGTACGTCGGTGTCGCAAGGCCTGTACATTGAGAAATACCTCTGCAGCTACATGCGGCTTGTATGCATGGACGGCTTTCAACTTGTCACCTTGTTGTTCCAGAGGTGTCCAGCAAAGACACACGTATAGTTAGTGGTTTCCTGCGACAGACACACTTGCCCTTTTTGCCGAACAGGGAGGGCTGCTTGACGAACCTCTTGACACCCCGTCCTGCGCTCTCGTCCTGTCGCGGCGGTGCAACGCGCAACCTTGATGCACACGCAGCACAGAACAGCCACGCCGTGACCCACGTGGAGTACGCCTCGGTGGAGATGATCCGGGCGACGATCGACGCGCTGCAGTCGGACCTCCCGCCTGCCGCGGTGAAGCTAGGGATGATGGGGACGGACGCCGTGGTGTCGGTGGTCGGGGCGTTTCTGGAAGGATATAAGGGAAACGTGGTGTGTGACCCCGTCATGGTCTCGACGAGGTGAATGGTGGTGTTGCGTGTTTCGGGGGCATTCTGCTGTGGCCGAAAAACGTTGGTTTGTGGGTGCAATTTCTCCTGGCCAATGGTGACAACTAGGGATTTGTTGTTGCCCGCTGGCCGGCGGCGAGGAGAAGGTGAAACACTTCCCCCCGTCTTCCTCGTCGTCATGCGGCAATTTGTGTAGCAGGAGTTTATTTCTCTAGTGTGCACCCTTATTGGGGACACCCTGCGAACAACGCCGGCCGATTTTGTGCGAATTGCGAGACGGAGACCCCTTTCCCCCCCCCCCTCGTCAAACGACACCGACACCTTTTGCGTGGCTTCACAGCGGGTCTCGACTTCTGCCGGAAGGCGCCGAGGCGCTGATGAAGGAGCGCGTGTTCCCTCGAGCGAGGATGATCACGCCCAACCTCATCGAGGCCGAGGTGCTCCTAGGGCGGAGCCTGCGGACGCCCGCCGACGTGGAGGCCGGCGCCGCCTCCCTGCTGGCCTCTTGCGCCGCGGGGGGCGTGCTGATCAAGGGAGGACACTCGAAGGACGAGCGGGAACCGGGAGGCGCGGACAGTCCATCTGCTCGGCAGCGGTACTCTCAGGACTACTGGACGGACGGCACCCCCGGGGGAAGCTTCTGGCTCACGACCCCACGGGTCGACAGCGACGACACCCACGGGACCGGGTGCACGCTGTCGTCTGCGGCGGCGGCGTGCCTCGCCAAGGGCTTAGACCCCGCGGACTCCGTGGTCCTCGCCAAGGCCTACGTCACGCAGGGAATCCGCGCGGCGCGGCGCTTCGGGAAGGGCCCGGGCCCGGTGGCGCACACGGGGTGGCCCTCGCGGGCGGACTGCTTCCCGTGGGTCACGGCGACCGCCGAGGGGGGCGCAGGGGGTCGGCCCGAGGCGTTTCCGAAGTGTCACGATGACTGGGGGCTATATCCGGTGGTGGAGACGGCGGAGTGGTGAGAGATTTTCTTTGTTTAAAAGGACCGCGAGAAGTGACGATGTTGGGACAAACGTGGAGGTTGGAGGTTCGGCTTGGGGTGGTGTTTGAGTGCTTCATGTGCTACATGGATGTATGATTGCGGTTGCAAGCCGGGCGACTCACTCTTGTCGGGTGCATCGCTTGTGTTCATGTTTTTCGTTTTTTTTTTTATGTTGAGTGGCCCCAAGACGTTGCTGGCCGCAGCCGCCGCAACGGAAGGGCTGCTCTGCGGATGCCGTGTCATGCCGCACCCATGTAATTGCCCCGATTGGGTTGAGAACACTTCTTTCCCCCGTCAAGTTTGCTTGACCGGGCTTCCCCACCGCTTCCTACTCCTTCCCGCGCGAACTTCCTGCCCAACAAAACAGGGTCGAAAAGCTGCTATCCTTCGGGGTGCGGGACATCCAGCTGCGAGTGAAGGGAGCCTCCCCCGAGGCCCTCGACGCCGAGGTAGCCAGAGCGGCCCAGGCGTGCCGGGACTCCGCCGCGGGGGGCGGCGGAGGCGGGGGGAGGCTGTGGGTCAACGACTTCTGGCGGGTGGCCGTCAGGCACGGCGCGTACGGGGTCCACCTTGGGCAGGAGGACCTCGAGGCCGGCGGCGGGGAGGCCCTGTCGGCTATCGCGAAGGCCGGGCTGCGGCTCGGGCTCAGCACCCACTCCTACCTGGAGCTGGCGAGGGCGACCGCCGTCCGGCCGAGCTACATCTCCCTAGGCCCCGTGTTCGAGACGACCTCGAAGAAGGTGGCGTTCTCTCCCAGGGGCGCGGTGCTGGTCGGCGCGTGGAGGGCGCTCGTGGACGTCCCGCTGATCGCCATCGGGGGCATCAGTCTCGAGAGAGCGCCGGAGGTGTGTGTGACGCGGGGGGGCGGGGGGGCGTACTCTAATATTTTGCATGCCTTAGCGGTTAGATCATTGACCACGCGTCCTCGAGAGGACGGAGCATTGCTCCCACAGGACTGATCACCGATGGCCAATCGTTCCTTTCTACTTTGCCAAAGGTGGCTCAAAAATGTCTTTCCTAATCTGTCTATCCTAACGATATCCCTTCCCGCCTTTTCAACCCACCTCCTATGCCCGAGTACAGCTACCGCCCTTTCCTCTCTATTCCATGCCTCAAACATCTCCCTGTACGTCCTAGCTATTTTTCCCAGCTCAGTCACGTACACTTCCCTCTCCTCCTTGTACAACGGGCATTCCGCGACTACATGAACACGGTCTTCGCATTCGAAGCCGTAATCACATTTGAACTCGTCGTCTTCGTCGTTTACCGTCCTATGTTTTCGTCGACGTTCTCGAAGGCCTATGTCCCCTGTCCTGAATTTGACCTTAAGCTTTGTTCCTGCATCCATTGGTCCATGTAGGTAATCCTTGAAACTTACTCCTTCCTTCAACATTCCGTACACTTCTAGACCCTCCTTATCCTTGGATTCTTTCCTTGGGTTCTGTTCTTCTCTCTCGGCACAAGCAACAGATATCTTGTCCTTGAAACCCTGTAGACCCTCCGTTTCCAGCGTTTCGTGTTCGTCGATGTCGAGCCCCTTCCATACGTCCTCTACAACCTTGACCCATTCCGTGGGTTGTC